GAAGAAAAAAGCAAATAGGAGCAATTATTTAAGTAGAAAAAATATATTTAAAATGACTTAAAACAGAGCATATTTATTAGTACCTAGATGCCCTTAGAGTTGCTTTAGAAGGTTGCACATTGCTTTTGTTTCCATTAATCTCCACTGATTACGGTTTAGCTAGTTTCCTCTCCACCATGACCCTAAAGAAACCCTCCCCTATGTATCTCTGATCTAAATTAGCATTCATTTATTTATACTTATTGAGTGCCTATTATGTGTTAGGCATTCTTCCAGCAGCTCCTAAAGCTGTTGCTATGGATAGGTCTCTAATGTTCTATCATAAAATACTTGAGTCCAGAGATACCAGTCCCCAGTTTGGGATATGGCTTCAAACTCTAGGGAAGTTCAGCAACAGAAGTGCTGATGGGAATAGCTTGAGCTTTTCCCTAAGACTAGGGGAATAATTTTCAGAGGCAAAGTGGTTTCAGAGGGTTCTCAAGGAAACAACCCTTAAATATTGGTATGCAGTTTTGCCAGAGAGGCTGCCATCTGTACCTTGCCTGGCTGTTCTGGGGGTATGGTTGAACTGGTCAAGGGACTGTGAGGTTGTTGCAGCAGCAAGGCATCCATCAATTACCACAGGGCTGGAACATGCAATGAGGGTCAGATTGGCCAAGTCTCAAGAAAACTTTTATATGATTTGAAATGCTTTCCCAAAGAGATTTCCCTTATCATCTAGGAGCCAGGTGATTTCCTCAAGCAGATCTCATGAGATTATTTCCCAATGAGACCCTTGAGTCAATCAAAGCTATGTTTTCACGTGGGTTCCATTTTGGATCAACTGTAATAGGTATCTTGCTCAGGGGATACTCTTTTTCCAGCTTATTTCAATAGTGTTAAGTAGAAAGCAAGGGTGACTTGAGAGTGGGGGTGAAAGACGAGTAATCAAAAAAGTCTCTTGGAGTGCCTTGGTGGCTGTCAGTTGAGTGTCCAACTCTTGATTTTGGCTCAGGTCATGATCTCAGGGTCATGGGATCAAGCCCTATATCCCACATCAGTTTCTTCACTCTGCAGAGAGTCTGCTTGAGATTCTTTCCCTCTCCCTCGGTCCCTCCCACTGCTCATGCACACTCTTTCTCAAATAATCTAAAAAAAAGTTCTCCAGTCTGAGTACAATTCAGAATTTTAATAAACAGCCGCTAAACATTGCACCAAAGCATTTGGAAACACAATTTCTACAGAAAGGCAAAGGTCAGGCTTTCATTCTAAACTCCTTTAGACGATCATTAACAACAGCCCCACCCACCCCACCACCCCCCAACCCCACATACCCACAACACTACACTCTTCTAGTCATGAAATTGCCTACAGACATACTCTTAGAAATAATGGGACTGGCATGCATTATCCCAGCAATGGCAGAGAAGCAGGGGATGGAGGGGATGGATGGGTGCAAAGGCAACCAGTGGCTAATGATAAACCCCTTAGGAGCTTTGTTTAGGGAGTGGGCAGGGAGAGTCTGATTTTGGTGCCATCTGTGGCTTTACTTGGGCTTCTGGGATAATCTGGACTAGTGGCTGGGACTGCCATCTTAATATCATTCCATTGAGCCATGACTATTAGAAGTGGTCTCCTTAGGTGACACATTGTAACTTCTACAAATCTTTTTGGTGTCCAAACTGCATGCAGGAGTCAGCAGGACTGTTGAGATTGTGCTGATTCAGAGGTCAAGTGGACCTGGCTTCTCAGTCCTGTCTTCATTTTGGTCTTTGGAAAGGGACCCATGATAGTTCTCTATTACAGACACTTATAAGGTGTCTAGGCAAGTCATTTAAACATCTGAGACTCAGTTTTTCTATCTTATAAAAATTTTACAATCATAATACATTAAGAACAAATGAGATCAAATGGCCCCTAAGTAATATATTAACAAACTGGTAATAATGATTCACTTGACTGAAAAATCAACTAGACTCCAATTCACCCCTCTAAGAATTGGCATCAATAGAGGACCATAGTTCCCTGACATAGTGAGAGCACAGTTCTTAGGTCTGGGCTAGCATTTAGGGTGTGGAGGGCATGGAAGGGATAACTGGACTTTCACCTGCCAGTGGCCCTCTCTTTAGAGCCAGACTTTAAGCTTTTACCACCCAGCCCAAATCTCTTGCCTCATCCAGTATTTGACTAGTTGCCTTGGCAGGGAGGTGACTTTCCTACCCAATTTAAAAAAAAATATTGTGTAGGCATTTGATCTAGATCTTTTTGTTTCTGTTTGTCCCTTTTTAATATAAATTACAAAAATACTTGATCCTTTTCCTGAAGAATTTGCAGACAGTAATGAGTCCAAACTAAGCAGTGTCCAGCTGACAAGGAAGGGTCAAAGGGCTTTTCTGAAGGAGAGATATACCAAAGAAGATACTATTTTCCTGAGCAGCTGAACATGGCAGAGCATCAGCCATCTTGGGGCCAGGCTGGCCTAATTGGTTCTGTTTTGGCTATATATCATTGACATTAGTGAGTTTCAACAGTCCCCACTAACCTCCAAGCCAATAAAGAGGCTGGGGCCAGGTTTAGAGGTTAGCACTGGCTCCTGCCTTTGCTAGCAGTACTTTTGCATAGTGGGCCCAGCTGTAGGTAAAGGAAATAGCAGGCCAGGACCATATGGGATAGCCTGGCTCGTGAACGAGTCAGAATCACCTGATCTGGACCAGTCAAGAATCCTCCTTGGTCTGGACCACTCAAATAGCCAAGTTTCCCACTACAAGCAGTCGAGTCTCCTGTTCTTTTTGCAGTGGGCAGAGTGCAATAAAATACATGCAGTGCCCTCAGCTGGGGGAGACTGACAGACTAAGATGAGCAACTAAACAAATGGCAGTGTTTGGCTCTGATGAGGGTACACTCAGCAATGTCAGGGGGACAAGTAATTTTTCTGTTATTATTTTTTTCATTGAGATTCATAAATATGAATTGAGAGTCACAGCTTGGTAGAGAGTTAAAAAGAAGAATCCTGAAATACAGAAAGGGGAGCCCTGGGGTTTGGGGGCCTGGATGCTTCCTAGGGTATACAGTGCTCTGGTTGCTGCATCACCACTATCTAGTGTTTGCGGATCATGCCCTTGATAGCTGACTCCCGGTTGACATAGGTGGCCCAGTAGACCAGATTAAAAATGGCAAAAAGCACAGGAAAGATGATGCGGGAAATTTTGTCAACCTTGCTGACACTGTTGTAGGTCTTGGTCTCAGTCGGGATGTCCTGCACGTAGTTGGTCTTGGGTGAAGCAATAATTGTTGGGGTTGAGGAGGCACTGGGAGCAGCGCCCTTGGAGATAGTGGAGAACTCAGTTTCCTTGGCCAGATTGATGGGATAGGTGGTCCCCACGATGTTGAAGGTGGTGCTGGTTTTCTTTGTTGGGGCTGCTGGTGTTTTCTTCTAGGAGCCAGAAAAAGTAGGGGAAAAGGGGGGACAAAACAAAAGCTAATTAATTCATTATACAGAGCACCTTCAGAGGCTGTAGGGAGGAGGAGCCATGAGGGAAGTTAAGAAACAGGGGCCAGGAAGCCAATAGCACTGAGTAGCCAGGTTTGTGTCTAAGGATAATTGAAGATGAGCTTGAAACAGAAAACTTGCATCATCCTGGTTTACTAGCTATGTGGCTTTGGCCAAGTCACTTCTCTTTGTGTTTTAGTCTCTTCATCTGTAAAATGAAAATCAAAATATTTGGCAGGGTTGTTGGGAGGATCAGATGAAAGAATGGTGGTAAGAATCACTGGAAAACTGTGAAATGTTGGTCACGTGTAGGGTCTTATATAGTCATGTGATTTGATCCTCACAGTAACCCTATCAAGTAGGTAGGTGAGATTACTCCCATTTGACAGATGATAAAACTCAGCCTCAGACTGAGTAGCAGAGCCCACACTAGCCACCTGGGCTCCTGACTTTTATCCAGGGCTGTACTGTGTTGCTTTCTATAGGTGCGAGGCACTTTTTGGTTACCCGAAAAATAACTCCAAAAGGCTTCAACCATCAAGTGGCACATCCCCTGTGAGGAAGAGAGCTATGTGAGTCTGAAAGTCATTTCATCTTAAAGACACAATAAATACTATGGCATGTTTACATGCATCATTACAACAGTATTTCACCCTTCATGCACTGTAAATGTGTTCAGCAAACTAGGGGGCACACCAGGGTTTTCCACTCATACATGGATGCAGGCAGGAGCCAAGGCCTCCCCAGGGAGCTATGCAAATATTTCCCTCTGACACAGCAAGCCCCTGGCTGTTTCTGCCTTTGTTATGACACTGCCCTTTGTAAATTTTTTTTCAGAATAAAAACTCAATGAGAAACAAACATGCACACATGTGCCCATTTGTTCCCACATATATGATTTGTGTACACATGGACCCTCTATGAAGAAAAGGAAACAAAGCTCAGGGCTAGATCAGAAGAAAGTGGCTGAGCTCATAGTCTATAGTGATTGCTGCCTCCCTCTGCACTCTGGCCTTTTCTTCTTTCCATCCCTTTTTGTTTCTAGGGAAAAGTTGGGGATAGATGAGCTTCAGAAATGCCCAAGAGTATTTGATGAAGAGTGATAACTACTTGCATTGCCCTAATTTCACACACCTCATTTGTTCCCTTTCTCAGTGTTATTTTGCTTCCCAGCATCTGTAATTTTACTTTACTCCTCTGCTTCTTGTTTCCTTCCAGGGTTTCTCTACTCCCACCTTCTCTTACTGACCCCTTTCTCCTAATCTCTTTATTTTCTTCTTTACATCAGAGTCCCTACCATTTTGATTTTCCCCACTTTAGAACATACTGCCATTTACCTTCCTGATTCAAGTATAACTTTGCCAAATATTTACTGAATATCTACTGGGTCAAAGCTATGCTAGGTATTTAGGGATAGGTGGGAAGGTTAAAAGATGAATCCATTTCAATCCCTGTTTTCTAGGAGTTTACAGTCCAGTGGGGCAGAGAGCTGTAGGAACACATTAGTGCTATATAATATGATCAGAGTTCTAACAGATATGGGCAAATTATAACATATATGATGAGAATTCAGTAAAACAAGGAACAAAGTACCTATAGATGTTGGAAAAGGTAGCTCAGAGAAGGCAATGAAGTTTGTGACCTGGGTCACAGAAGATAAGCAGGAGCTCATCAGATGAAGATGCAGCACAGGCTAAGGGCACTGCTTGTTTGAGGGGATGATAAGAAGTCTGTTGTAGCTGGATCACAGTGTACATGGCAAAGGCCTTGTATGCCATGCCCTCCTGCTCTGCCTGCCCATGCTGACTTTAGAGTTTTTAATCAATCAGAGAGGGGGTGTGGGATAAATGAGTGTTGGTTTAAGTACATGAACCATCTCACTAATAGGTCTTTTTATAAAGCAATACTGTTCTTTCTCTTTAAGAATTGCAGCCACATTGCTACACACGGAAGGGGGACAGAGCTCTAAGGCTTCTAAGAGCCTTGTAAGTGCCTTAAATACTACATGGGATTCATTTATAATTAGCAACTTCATTGTGTGAATAGAGGCCTGGTGCTAAATGCCTCTGCTATTAAATAGCACTTTACTTGTTTGCCTGCTTATTAATTTGCTTAGTAATCTCTTTTTTTCTTTTTGTGGATAGACAAAGAAAAAAGGAGAAAGGAAAGAAAAGAACCCCACTACCTTGACTTTGCTAGAATCTTTCATGTTATTTCATTTAGTCAACATTTAAGCTGGTTATGACCAAGTATCTGAAACAATCATTCCAAACAGCAAACACTTTCTTTAGCTTCATAAGTCTTTTCTGTTCTATAGGTGAGGAGAAGCAGCAGTTGATTTAATCTCAGATTTTTAAAGCAATAAAGGAAAATTACCTTTTAATTTCCCTTGCCCTTTCCAACATGGCACATTTTAATCAACCATTTTAATTTTTACCTAAATTGTCAAAGAAGGAAATCAAAGCAAAAGCTGTACTGTCAAGAAGACAGAAACAGGAGGTAGAGATTAATGGTTAATCCATTTCTGTTTCTAGTTTTCAATATTTCCCTATGCTCTGGAATTTGATAGATACAAACTAGATTTAGTTTTGACCAAGTTGTGATTCTCTTCATTCCTTCCTAGTCAAGTGCCTGACTTAGGCATGTCATAGAGGTTTAGTGAAAAAAAGATGACCCTCCTCCCATTGAAGATTCTCAATCTGATTTCCAGTTTGTTCCTCCTTAGTCTTGACCTCTCCTATACAGAGAATATATCTTTATAGTTCAGCTGGGAGTAATACCCACACCCCCAAACTGAAATTGACTCCTCCAAATTCCCCCAAGCAGTATGACTCCCAGGACACCTTTCCATCTAGAAAGCCACCTTATATGGATTTTGGGATGAAGCAATGAAAAATTGTATGGACCAATGCATGTCCAATTCAAGGGTTTTCCTCAGATGGCATTCCTGTCTATTGTTCTAGAAGTGCTAATTACAGGGTTAGTTGGAGCCCTGAATGTACTTGATACTCAGCCAGGACCTCAGAGTATATGCAGATATGGCCCAGTGCTTCTGAATCCACCCCATAACAGACATTCAACTTTCCTGAACCCCAGTTTTCATAAGTGGAGCAAAGTAATGACATATAAGCTACGAGAGACTCAAAGACAAATCAGAGAAGTGACAAAAAAAGTCCAGGACCAGATGGCTTCATGGGTAAATTCTACAATACATTTAAAGAAGAGTTAAACCTATCCTTCTCAAATTATTTTTAAAAGTTGGAGAAGAGAGAACACTTCCAAACTCATTTTATGAGGCCAGCATTACCTTGATATCACAACCAGACACCACACACACACACATATTACAGCCCAAGATCCCTGATGAACTTACATGCCAAAACCCTCAACAAAATATTAGCAAATCAAATCCAACAGTACATTAATTAAAAGGATTATATAGCATGATCAAGTGGGATTTATTCCAGTGATGCAAAGATGGTTCAAAATCCACAAATTAATGAACGTGATACACCACAATAACAAAAAAAAAGGATAAAAATCATATGGTCATCTCAATAGATGCAGAAAAAAGCATTTGACAAAATTCGACATCCATTTATGATAAAAACTCTAAACAAAGTGAGGATAGAAGAAGTGTACCTCAACATAATAAAAATCATATATGACAAGTCCACAGCTAACATACTCAAAGGTGAAAAGCTGAAAACTTTTTCTCTAAGATCAAGAACAAGACAAGGATGTCCACTCTCATCATATTTTATTCAATATAGTATTGCAGGTTCTAGCCACAGCATAAAAGAAATAAAAGTCATCCCAATTAGAAAAGAAGTAAAACTGTCATTATTTGCAGATGACATGATACTATATATAGAAAACCCTAAAGACTCCACTGAAAAACTACTAGAACTAATACATTCAGTAAGGTTGTAGGATACAAAATTGACATACAGAAATCACTTGCATTTCTATACACTAATAATGAGCTAACAAAAAGACAAATTAAGAAAATCCCATATGATTTCACTCTTATGTGGAATTTAAGAAACAAAACAGATGAACATAGGGGAAAGGAAGAAAAAATAAAATAAGATGAAAACAGAGAGAGAGACAAACCACAAGAGACCTTTAACTATAGGAAACAAACTGAGGGTTGCTGGAGGGGAGGGGAGTGGGGGGAAGTGGTAACTGGGTGATGGGCACTTGATGTAATGAGCACTGGGTGTTGTATGCAAACAATCACTAAATTGTACCTCTGAAACTAATAGTATATGCTGATTAAATTGAATGTAAATAAAAATTTTAAAAAATGCAAAAAAAAGAAAACAATTTCATTTACAGTTGCATAAAAAATAATAAAATACCCAGGAATAAATTTAACCAAGGGGGATTTATGACATTGATGAAAGAAATTGAAGACAACACAAATGGAAAATTATACTGTCTCATGGATTTGGAGAATTAACATTTTAAAAAATGTCCATACTACCCAAAGCAATCTATGGAATTCAATGCAATCCCAGTCAAAATACCAATGGTGTTTTTCACAGAACTAGAACAAAAAAATTATAAAATTTGTATGAAACCACCAAAATACCCCAAATAGCTAAGCAATCTTGAGAAAGTGGAACAAAGCTGGAGGTATCATGCTCACTGATTTCAAACCATACTACAAAGCTATAGTAATCAAAATGGTATGGTACTGGCATAAAAATAGACATATGGATGAATAGAAAAGGGGATCCAGAAATAAACCTATGATTATATAGCCAATTAATCTCTGACCAAAGGAGGTAAAAAGATCAAATGGGGGAAAGGCAGTTTCTTCAATAAATGGTGCTAGGAAAACTGAACAGCTACATTCAAAAGAACAAAACTGGACTACTGTCTTATACCATATACAAAAATAAACTCAAAATGCATTAAAGGTGTGAGTGGAAGAT